ATATAAAGTTATAAGCTACAATTATAATTAGACTAGTTGTTTAAGCTTTTTAACATCGTTCAGCATCATTTAAGTCTTTGTTTATTATATTGTAAATACGGACACATTGGTTTAATTTTGTAACTTACACATTAATTTTAAATAAAAACAAAAAATACTCAACGTATTCAGCATCGCCAGATAGAATCCAGCGGTAATAAAATGTAAAAAATCGTAGAAATTTCATAAATAAGAAAAATTATATATTAGCTGATCTCAAATACTTTTAATTGAGCACATAAAATATTCCTGAATATATTTACAGGGTGCGCCATCTTTTATGTCGGTATGTAGATATTGAATAACTTTGTCATTAGTGAACCGATTGACTTGAGTAGACCAGTGTTGAAAACCTCAGTTCAAGAAATTGTACAGAACCAAATTAAATAAAAATAATTCATACTTGAAAATCGGTTGTTTATTTTCAAGGATATTCAATGTTTGCATACCGACATAAAAGATGGCGCACCCTGTACATACTAAGTATATGAAGTAACATCAGAGACTGCAACTTTTTAGTCTCACTGCTCAGGAACGTCACAACAAGATCAATAACATTAATTATTTATGAAAATGAACATACATGTACATACAAATCATGATGGGAACATATCGAAAAATATGTTTTAAAATGTATCCAGATGATGCAAAATGAAGTTCCCTTTTTGCTCCTCATAACTTTAGCATAAGTTTTGTCATTACTATTTAAAATACAAATAAATACTAATTTTGTATCTATTTAATAATACTAATATTATATGATGTTGGTCACTTGCATTAAATTTGTTTTTTATTAAAGTTATACAAAAAATATGCTGCTTTAGAAAACTATGCATAATTTTAAAATTTTTTTTCTTTAGGCATCTCCCAGCTTTCACAAAATATAAATAATGTTGCCTTAAAAAAAATAATACTCTGCTATTTTTCACATTAAAAACGAACGACCAAAGCTTTATTCATTCCAATAAATAAAATTCGACCAGTGTATACAATCTCAAACTAATGGACGATTAGGCCTCAATACGAAACCTAAACAAGCGCGAAGACACTTACTATAGAGTATAAATTTTACGCTCTTCTGACTTATCAGTAGCGCACATGAACTTGAGCATATTCCATTTGTATTGAGAGAATGAAATATCATACAGCTTTCGGTATATTATTTATTTATTTACATTATTGGAACGTAGGCTATCGGTACACTTAATAAATAATCTGATTTAATAACTCAAACCATCATTATTCTTATCAAATAGCACACATACATATGCGCACTTAAATATTTTTCAAACAATTTCCATAGAAAAAAAGGTCGTGTGCAAATACGCCAAGTCCTTTAATTCTCAGCATAATTTCAAATCAGACAAGCGCTAAAAACATTTCATTATAACGCTACACAATCGGAATATTTAATGATTTAATCGGCAAGCCAAATCAGCAACAACCAGCAACACCAACATCAAGCAGCAAGCAGCAAGCAGCATGCAGCCAGCAGGAGAGGCAACACCTAAAGATCGTAGTGCAGTCATTGCTGAGACTTCAGACGACGACGAGGACGACGGCGACGGCGACAACAACGATGGGGGCGCTGGGGACGGTGGACTCCGAAGTCAGCATCTTCGTCTTCACCTTGCGATAAACTGCTTCAAATTCACAGATTTTAAATTTAAAACGTAGCCAGCGCAGAGCACAGCACAGCATCAAGCATGTAAAACCCAAAGCCATGGCTGCAGATATAATGGCGCGAGTTTCATGTTTACAAAAAGATTATGCAGCAAACAACAGCAACAACAGCAACAACTGCAACAACAACAGCAGCTCCAACAACAGCAACAAACGTGCTGAGCAAGCAAACGTAGCGAGTTCTAATTAAACAATTCGTAGAATTTCGCGTTAATTGCAAGAAAACGACCCGAACGTGCAACAGAGAATTGAAGCTGGCAACTTCCTCCATGCCCCAAACCGAGGTGACACGTTTTACTTATAAATAGTGAGAAAGCTTTGCGCTTTGATTAGGTGCCATTATGTGGGTTGGGCTTTCGAGAGAATGGAAACTAAGTATGTGGGAACTGCGGATGACCCGCATGCCAATTCATCATAGAGTTGTTATTAACATGCAGAATGAAACCGCGTCACCCTCCACCCTCCCATATACAAATAAGCACTGTCAGCTATACCTATGGAGCAGTAGAAGGTCTTACTCCATTTCCCCTCTGCATGCAGAGCGATCCAAACAGAAAACTCAATTCAAATTATCACCGTACAAGATCGACAGATGTTCAACAAAACACAGCGCACAACCGAAGGATGGACAGCGGCTGACTGCAGAGGTCAATGAGGTGCACCGACCGACCGACCAACCGACCAACCGACCAACCGACCGATCCGATCCTATCCAATCCGATTCATCCAAACTATACGATCGTACGCAGCAATGCAAAAGCAAAGCAGTCGCACGTTTCGTTGAGCAAATAACGCCCCGTTTTTGGCAAAATACTAAACTAAACCCCTTAATCTAAACCACTTTGGGCAATGAACGAGGCTGGCCGGCAGATCTGGCGTCGCGATCGACAGCAGCAACAACAGCAACAGCAACAACAACGCCACGCATATTTCGCATATTCCCGGCACACCTTTAACAAAACCCTAACGCAAGGGGATAACTCAAAACCAAAAACAAAAAATTAAAATAAAAAAGGCAGAGAAGATTCTACCAGCTCATATGTACATAAGTAGTATGTATGTATTATGTATGGTATGTATGATGTATATACTTTTATAAGTAGTATGTACATTCAACAAAAGCGTAGAAAGTGAAGAACTCAAAATATGTCGAGTTGTTGTTGCTGTTGCTGTTAGTTTTGTTTGTCGTGGCATTGTCAAGAACCCGCACGCTACCGTCGTCATCATCATCGTCATCGTCATCGTCATATGCGAGCCCATCATCGACAGCAGCGTGCTCGTCATCGCGCATTAAGGGCGGCAGCAGAGGGAGCGTCTCAATCCCAACAACAATCGTCGAATGCCCGAAACTGAAGACCCCAGTCCGCTGTTGAGGCTTCGCGCATGCGTTTGCGCACGCTTATCAGCGCTGATTAATCTGCCATCGCTGCTGCTGATAAGCGGTTGCCATCATACGAGCTTGTAGCGTAGTGTTGAGAGCATTTGTTCGCATTCATTCGCATCCATGTCCATGTCCACATCCACATCCAGGTTCCTGTCCATGTCTGCATTGTTAGCACTGTGCGCAGTGGCAGGCAACACTCATGTTTAAATTATGATGGCTTCTAAGTTGCGCCCTGCGTCGCCCGTCGCTAAGGAAGCGATTGTTCCATGTGGGCATATGGGCAGCAGGCTATACTTAGTGTCAGAAGTCATGTTGATGCGACAACTTATTGCTGGCATTAGAGATATGCACGGAATGCCAGAATGTGAAAAGTTTGTTAGAGCAAAAAAACTTCACTTTTAAAAACTAAATTGATGAATTTTAAGAACGCGAATTTGATGCTTTACAAAAATAAGAATATATTTATAAAGATCAATTATATAGTGCCCTGTTCCAAGGATACCGATTAGTTTGTAAGCACACTTAATTTAAATATAGCATACCCCATGTCACATGCCATGGTATACAAATTAGAGCAATTATCTCCGGCTATATAGTATATATGCCTTATGAAAAATTTTAAGCCGCTTCGTTAGGTCGTTAGACTGTGACGACAAAATGGTAAATTATTCCTGATTTATATGAAATCTTGTCCATTATGCATTTGTTTTTATATGGTGTATGATTTTGCATTAGGGTTTTGCAAATATATCCAACAGATAGAGGAAGAATCTCCATAAAGTAAAAATATATTCCTGACTAACGCAATTCCATAGCCACATCCGGATGTTTGTATAGATGAGCGCCATGATTTCGAAAATGGCTGACCCCACCAAATAGACCAAATATGTTATATAGATCATTTTAATCCCAAATTAATTTGCTGATACTGTTCGCAATGCCAATGCAGAATGAACTCAACTTATTTAATTTTTTTTCCGATAAACATAAGCTGTTGATATACTTAGGTAAGACTATATACAAGTTTTGAAAAGCCTTATAAGCGAGGCGATCGTAAATAGGAACAATCCCATCAAATTACAATAATATCTAATAAACGCCTCCGACTCGATGAAGGAATTTTATTTGGCATTCGGAACGGCCCCAAATCACAGCCAAGTATAGAGAGAGGCGTTCATAGATGTCCTAATAAATATTTTAAAATAAAAAGAGAAGCTTAGAAGAGAAAAGTAATTTGGAATTAATAAAGATAATTACTTAAAATTTTAAGAATAAACAAATTAAGACAAAGGAAACTCCGATCCTGTGGGAATGACTTATTAGCCTCCTCTTTTTTTAAAATCTAAACCGGTTAATGTAAAAAAAGAGCTGCACTACTAGGCCCCAAGCTGCAGCAGCGGTTTTATTCTGTTTCTTGTCTTTTGTTGACAAACTATGATTTGAAAGAGTTTGAAGGTCGAGCTCACTTTAGTTTTATCATTGAATGCTATAGCTTTAAGTTGCTGAGAATACATAGTACTTTCCTCTTCAGAGTCAAGTTTGAGAATAAGTGCAGAATCCGTAAATGCAAATGCACTTTCTCATCTAGAAAGCTGCACGTTTCGAATGAGATTTATTTAATTTGAGAGAGCTCAGAGAATGTTTGCTGTTCGACCAAGTCGAAAATTTTCCCAAAGACAGAATTGAACATACGCTTGCAGTGTGCTTATCAGTAGCCAGCAGCGTCATATCGCGCGCTCTTTATAAAGCTCAGAACCCGCAACCGATAAGACGAAACCGCAGCAGTGATTTGTCTAACAAAAAAAAAAAAAAAAAAAACGCAACAGCAGGCTCAGTTTTAATTTAAAGCGAAGCTCGGGCTTTAGTGCTAAAGAAGCTTCTTTGAGCGGCGGTCGTGTAGCAAGTGATAATACTATATATAGTATAATCCAATATTAAAGCCGAGACAATGATCTCGTTTTATTGGCTTCTGCTGGCCCTGCCCGCCTGCTGCAGAATGGTTGCGGCGGCCGAGGAGTCCACAATTGGGAAACTTAATTTGACTGCCAGCTGTCCGAATGTCTACTGCAGTATAGCAGGGCAGAGCAGAACGCCAGCTGGACCGGTGACGGTCGTAAACAGCAGTGTGCCCCATTTGAAGGAGCTAGTCTTTCGCAATTACATTATGCGAAGTATTCCTGTCCAGGCTATGCGCATGGCTCCCAATCTGAGCGCCTTCCTCATGCAAAATTGTGCGATTTATCGTGTAAATCCGGAGGATTTCAACCATGCCCGACAGCTCAAGCAGCTGGTGTTGCAACGCAATCACATCTCACATTTGACTGAGAAGCTGTTTGAGCTTCTTCCCGAGCTGGAGCTCTTGGAACTGGGCTACAATATTATACACACAGTGCATAAGCAGGCCTTCGTAGGGCTGGCAAGTCTTCAAGTTCTAGGACTACAAGGCAATGGCATTAGAACCCTGATGGATGGGGCCTTTGCACCGCTGAAGGAGCTCCAGCATTTGGATTTGAGTGGGAATGAGTTGGAAAAACTAAATAGTACCGCCTTTGCGCAGAATACGAAGCTGGAAACATTGCTGTTGAGTGGCAATAGGTTTGTGGAGTTCAAACCGTATGCACTGACCTCTGTGCCTCATTTGCGTCTATTGGATGTGAGTAACTGCAACACGTTGCCGGAGCTACATGTACAAAGTGTGGACACATTGCTGGCGGAGGGCAGCGGACTGCAACGCTTAGTCATTGCTGGAAGCGTTATCAAGCTGCACGCGGGCAACAATGAGCTCACACAGCTGAGTATTAGCGATAAGCGTTCTGTGCTGGAACTTGACTTGCATACGAATCTGCTGAAGGAGGTGGGAAAGCTACTCGACGGAATGTTGAACTTGCAGCGTTTGGACTTGTCCAAGAATAGCATAGATGAGTTGCGTGCCCCGAATGGCAGTCAATTTCTCATATTGCCCAGTCTCGAGTATTTGAACTTGGCCTCAAATCAACTGCGCTCCATCACGCCCGAGAATTTCCTGCTGCTCGGAGGTCTGCAACACTTGGACTTATCCTTCAATCATTTGCTGCCTTTGACTGTGCACAATTTGGAGCCTCTGATCAATCTGCAGCGCCTGTATATTGAGGGCAATCGTCTTCACGAGTTCGACTATGAGCTCTTCCACCGCCAGCATGCGCATCTGAAGGAGCTGGGCCTATGCGACAACGAATGGGAGTTTGCCTTCATGCGAAAAATGGTCACATATCTGAGTGATCGAGGTGTGCATTTGCCAGCACGATTTGTGCGTCGTCAGGAAGATGCGAATGGCACCTTAACACCCAAGTTCGTACATCAGCTATTCGCCGAGGACCACCAACTAGAAGCTGGAACGTCTCGCACCAAATTCCCAGCGGGCGTAGCAAGTATTCACCCCTACTGGACGAAGCGTGATATTCTGGCCTTCGCCACGCTAATCGTGGTCTTCGCCATTCTACTGCTACAGCTCATTCGTATTCTGCAGGAGGAGGGCTGCTGGACGAGGTGTCAGATGCGCAGCTGGCTGGGACGAACTAGACGCCGACCTGCTGCCCAATCGAATGGAAGTCAGCAAGGCGGCCCTCGACCGCGGCGCCTGAATGAGGAGGACTCTGAAGTATGAACTGTGATATGCTATCAGCTGCTTTGTTGTTCTTGTTATGCTTACACTAAGTAATTTCTCTCTTTAACTCTCTCTCTTTCCCTCTTAAATGCAGTTGAGCTCAAGTGAATAAAATTGTGCGCCAAGTGAAAAATATTTCAATGTCGTCGCTGTGCGAGGCAACATGTTGCCAACGGCCAAGGCAGCTGCAGCAGCATCGGCACATGTTGCTGGCAACACACAAATAAACGAAAATTGCTGTCAATTTAGCTCTGACTAAGCCGTTTGTCTAGGCTAGTTTACTTCTTTTTGTCTCTCTTTAGCGTGTCCTCTTTGCGTTCGGTCTCGGTCTCGGTCTCTAACTCGTTTCAGGCCGTGTTTTCTGTATTTTGCATATGAAAAGCGGACAACAACTACACATCGTCGCCTGCTACAACGACAACAACTACGACAAGCTGTAGCAGCACTTGCAGTCGAGATACATTTACAAGATTCGTACAAAATACGAATTTAAGTTCAAAATAATTGCACGGCATACACACACGCCAGGTCCACTCCAAACCTATGATGGCTTTGTGGACGAGAAGGACGGGGCAGGCGGCAGCATTCGCTACCCGCTGCTGCAACGACCAATAACGACAACGTCAACAGTAACAACTTTAACAACGACTCTGCCTCACCCCGCGCCAAGTCAGCGCACAATTGCATGTGGGATTTGCGTAGCCGTCTTACAAAAAGCTGCCATGCTCTAAGTCTTCCTCCTGTCACCCAAATGTACACTGGTTCGGGACCTCCGATTAGGAGAAACCCTTTATAAGCAAACACAAAAGACCATTAATTTATAAGCAAATTTTCATTGACAGATTTATAATATTTTAATCGACCACCAAATTCACGATTATATCCTCCTCCGTAATTATTGTAATTAACCCGCGACTATCACCACCAAATCGTCGATCAGTCTCACCAGCCCGACGTTGTTTCATTTAATTGAAACTCTCTGTCGTTTTAAGCAGTTCCTGTGGCGCTCCTTGCTGGGCCTCCTGCATTATTTTAGTCAATGGCTGGGCCATAGCCCAATCTTCACGGGTTAAGAAGCTAATGGAAATGCCCTTGCGCCCGGTGCGGCTCGTACTCCCAACACGATGCACATACGTCTCGATGTTGCGAGGGAAATCATAGTTTATAACATGACTGCAAAGAAGCATAGACAGCAGATTAATGGTACGTTATCAGAAGAATTTTCGAAACTCACGAAATGTTGTCGATGTCCAAACCACATGGGGCCACATCGGTGGCCGGACTTGATTTTGGCAATAGCCTTCTCGCGATCGCTCTGTTTGCTGTTGCCATGAATGAATTGGCTGTCATAGCCTTCTAGCGAAAGATCTCTTTCAAGATCCTCAGCACGGGCCTTACGACAGCAGAAAATGATGATCTTGTCGCTTTGTTTCATGTTTTGAACAAATGATTAAATCATTGAATATTTTTCGGTTTCATTCTCTTGCAGTTCTATTATCTGCTTTACCGAATGCGCGACGCTCAAGTCCTGCGATCCAACAGACACCCGCATGGGACTGTTCACGTAGATCTCGACGAGAGGACGCACGCCCTCTGGCCAAGTGGCTGAGATCATGATGGTCTGTCGATCGTGATCGTTGTCAAGTCAATATCTTTTGCCTGAACTAGATCATGAATTAATTATAATTCCGGCACCTCGTTCCACATTCGAAACTCCGCCATACATGCAAGCGCTAAGAAAGTCCGAGTATTATTGAAAAAAAGCCCACAACTACTCACACATTCATGCAGCGGAAGGAATATTTTTTCACCTGCATTTGAATTTACAAGACAAGCTCATGAGTGGGCGCCAATATTAGCATTTGGGCACAACCCGTTGGCCACGGGGGATGTCCTGATATTCCGTTTGTATTAGGCCAGGCAGCAAAAAGGCCAGAGCTTTGCCCGTCCCCATCGACCTCGCTACAATATGGGCCACGACTCTGATTGAATAGGAGTCGGCCTTACAAAGCCATGATTCTTAATTTCACCCATTACATCTGGATATCTTTGAAAGCAGTGCTCGAAACGCCAAACGGGATTATGAATGAGCTCGACTGTTTCCCTTTTTTTGGGATCAAAACCTGGGACACACTTATGGTATTTTTTATACGAATGCACTCCACCGCGGGCTACTCCTTATATAAGTTCTTAGTAACAAGAGGCAATTTCCTGCCAAGAGCAACATAGGAATTCAAATGTAAATCGCTGGAATATCTCTGTTTTACATTATTTTAAAAAAGTTTAAGGAACCGCATCTTTGTTGATGACCTTCCAATCGATGCGGTTGGTAAAGCCCGAAGCTGGCGAAGCATCACGCGGTGGTGGAGTATAATCTTCTGGACTGTTACGGCGTTCCACGTCTGCGCCCGGTTTTCCATAGCTTTTCCCAACAAAACCTCAAAGATTCGCCTGACGATCGCCATCTCCGCTGATTTGCTGCAGTATCTCTTTTGCTACATCGCTAACATTGAACCCAAAGCCGACATAGAATGTGTATTCCATTCGATTACCCATATCGCTGCGTACAAAATCTCGATTCCTGCGTTCATCATTTCGCTCGCGGCCTTGACTACCACGACGCATCCGTGAATCCTCGTCATCTCGTCGGATGCTGCACTTATATTTTTCGCTTAGACGTTTTTGTCTTCCAATTTAAGTCAGACATTCTTCCATTATTATCTGTTAGTATTGTATTGTAATTAATTTTCAAGTGCCTGTGCGTTTATTGTTTCTTGAAGTATCTGCGAAATAGTGTAAATTTGGAAACTGACAGCACGGAGGCGACACCGGCGATACGCGGCAAGGGAAACAAAACACTAACGAGCAAAGGCAGATCTATCAGTTATGATAATTTTTTGACGCTTTACTTATAGAATTGAAATACATTTGTGATTTAAATCACTCACATTAAAGGTTCTTCTATTACTTTTTTACGATACAAGTAGAATATCCAAGGGCGGCGGTCCGAGCAAATTAAAATTAGATTTGAATATGGTACAGTGTGGTAAAATGCAAAGAAGCAGAAATATATCGAAAATATTTCGATATACAACACCATATTATCTTTCCAACTCAGTTAACATTCTTTTATTATTGAACTAAACACAATATTATTTGTAGTCATATGATAGGAAAGACCGAATTGCCACTCAGCTGTGCAGTATCGAAAGTTTTGAAGTAGATTATAGATTCTGTAGGGTTTCAGATTCATTCATTCTTGTTGTTCCTGAATCACGCGTTTCTGGCTAATTTCTTCAACATACAAATTACAATTCCTTATTCCTTCCTTCTGTGCAAGATGTGGTGCCTTTCAAATAATTTCTGTGTTCAGTTGATTCATCGTTGATGATATATGTAAATACTTATAATGTTGTCTATCTGCCGTGCAACTCCACTGTCCTGGCATTTTCAGATTGGTATTTAAGAAACCCACGGCTTTGGCTGTTTCTTTAAATAAAGACATGCAGAACATGTTGTCTCAAACAAGTCGTGGTCCTGTCAATAATTGTTTGCATGCTATATTCTGAACCAGTGTGCGAGTCGCACATGTAAACGACTTGGTCTTGGTAACATACGACATGCTTTGGGTGGAAATTTTGCCATGTTACGCCAGGGTTTTTGGGTTTGTGCGGTGCATTGAGGATTTTGATATGGCATCGCTATTTCTGAGAAATTGTATTTTGATTTATTTATAATGTTGCAGCGACATGCACACACAATGGCAGCAGCAACAACAACAACACTCTATGGGCTTTGCCTATACAAGGACCATGATGGCCTTGCCTTCCCCATTCCTGTTGTTGTTGTCGCTGTGATGCATTTTCAATTTGAATTTATTACTCTGCATATGGGCATCAAAATTTTGATTAAATTAGAAATATGCAAATTATGCATAGCACATTAATTATGTGTTTGCAGATGTGGTCAGCGCGATTAGAGAGCAGAGAGTGAGAGAGAGAGAGAGTGCAGAGAGTGAGAGCAAGAGAGAGAGTCTGCAACATGTTCATCAGTGCGACTTAAAACGCGCGCAAAACGCGTGCGATTGTACACATAATAATAAAAATTGAAGGGAATAAAAAAAGAACACATCGCAATCAAATAACTTCACACCTTGCCGACCGATTGCTGCTCGACTGCTCGCCTGCTCGCTGAGTGGGCGTGAGCCGCGACGTCTCACACGCCTCACGCCACATTTTAAAGTAAAGCGCACGCGGCCTTTGAAGAAATATTTCAACGATTTGTACCGAAAAGAACAACAACAACAACAAAAACAGCAAAAAAAAAGGACGGCACGAAAATAAAACAAATGCGAAAGGCAGCGCCGATAAATGCATTTTGCAATTGCCTCGAATCGAAAGCAACAAAAGCAACAATTTACCAATCGTTCACAGATCCGCCGCAGCCGCAGCCGCCGCAAACTTTGCGTGTCTCTGTCCATTTGGCCGCTAGCCGGGATTTGGCGATTGCAACTGCGGCCCGGGCTTCAGCAGGCTATGGCTATGGCTCTGGCCTCAGCTTCTTTCGGATGGGCGTTGCCGCGGAGGCTGTGCAAAGTGTAAATTTATGATCATGCGATTTTTATCGAATGTGAAAAAGTACAAAGTTTTTTGCACTTTATAAAAAGAAACTACCCAACGGTCTCGTCTGGTCTGGTCGGGTCGGGTCGGACGCACGCCCGCCCGCCCTCCACATGCATATGAGTGCATATCGGTGGTGATGGCGGTTGTGGTGGTGGTGGCTCAGTGGCTCAGTGGCTGGGCAGCATTATTAATACTCGAACGCCGACTGTCATGTTTCGTATTTAGTCAATTTTTATTGAACTTTTTTAGCACTTTATTTTTATTTATTTTTTTCTTACAATTCTGCCTGCGATTCTGTGGTTGTGATTGTGGCGGCGGTGGCGGCGGTGCGACGGCAGTGGTTGCACCCCTTTGACTGTGAGAATTAAAGAGACCCGCTTGCCATAAATCATGCGCATTTTCTGCGTTTATCAAATTTTCGCATACTTGCTTCGACGGAAAATTAGATTTTCTAAACATTTTACGAGCTTGTCACGCCCACACCAAGCGAACCAAGAGGTGCAACAACAATTACATCCCGCTGGCATTTCCCAACCTTTCCGAGGGGCCAGACACAGAGTTAGAGCAGCACGAAAATGACATGGCGACCTGTCTGAGAGCCTGCTTGACAAACAAGGCCAGG